AGGGGGAGCGGGGGGGGGGGGAAGCAGGGGATCGAGGGAGTAGCGAGGGAGGAGGAGGAGGTGGAGGAGGAGGAGGAGGAGGAGGAGGAGGAGGAGGAGGAGGAGGAGGAGGAGGTGGCGGCGGAGGCGGAGGAGGCGGCGGGAGCGTCGTCGTCGTCGTCGTCGTCGTCGTCGTCATCGTCGCCCTCCGCCTCCCCCTCCTGCTCCTCCTCCCCCTTCTCCTCCTCTTCCACTCCCACTCCGCCACAAAGGGCATCAATATGTAATCCGCCAGCAAAGCAAGCAATGCCTTTAATGTCCCGCCCGCCCGCCCGACCAAAAGAATCAGCTTGTAATCCGTCACAATAGTAATCAACTTGTAACCCGCTGCCACATGGAATCACTTTGTAATCCGCCACCAAAGCAACCAATGCTTTTAATGTCCCGCCCGCCCGCCCGACCAAAGGAATCAGTTTGTAATCCGCAATAAAAGAGAATCCATTCGTAATTCGCCACACAAGCAATCATTGCCTTTAATGTCCCGCCCGCCCGCCCGACAAAAGGAATCAATGTGTAATCTGCCACAATAAGAATCAGTGTGCCACCCGCCACACATGCAATCAATGCCTTTAGTGTCCCGCCCGCCCGCCCGACAAGAATAATCAGTTGATAATCCACCACACAGGGAATCAATATATGTAATCCGCCACCAAGGCAACCAATGCTATTAATGTCCCGCCCGCCCGCCCGACCAAAGGAATCATATTGTAATCCGCAATAAAGGGTTACCCCTAGGGCCTACCCCTAGGGCTACCCTGGGGCTACCCCTGGGGCCCACCCCTAGGCTACCCTAGGGCTACCCCTTGGGAAGCCTAGGGCCTTGGGTAGGGCCTACCCTTGGGAAGCCTAGGGCCTTGGGTAGGGCCTACCCTTGGGAAGGGCCTTGGGTAGGGCCTACCCTTGGGAAGCCTAGGGCCTTGGGTAGGGCCTACCCTTGGGAAGCCTAGGGCCTTGGGTAGGGCCTACCCTTGGGAAGCCTAGGGCCTTGGGTAGGGCCTACCCTTGGGAAGCCTAGGGCCTTGGGTAGGGCCTAGGGTAGCCAAGGCCCCCGGTGATCTATACCGCTGGCCGTGCTCGCCCTGCCTTCGTGAGCACATGGTCGTCCTCGGCGTCCGGGACGTTCTCGAGCTCAGCATCCTCCTCTTGGCTGCGCTTGACTGGGGAGTTGCGAGTGGTCGCCCTGTACACCGACATCGCCATTCCGTGCGCGTAGTTGTGCTCTGCTGCCGAAAGCGGGTCCCAGCTGCCCGCTGAGTAGCATCTGGAGCCCATGATGAGGGAGTCCGCAAAGATCATGCGGAACTTGAGTGGTAGTTGGTCGCCTGCGCAAGCCTTGTGGCGAAACCGCTGTAGATGGTGCGCCGTGATCTGCGCCCTTCGGTAGAGCTCCGGGTACATGGCCCCGTGATCGTCCACAACCGTGCCGAGCTGCACGTGCGTGATGACGACGCTCACGATGGGGCGCTCGAAGTAGCTGGAGATGAGCTGGAGCTGACCTCGCTGGTCGTGCCAAAGCTTGCGCTTGGACTCCTTGGAGCCTCTCCCTGTGAAGGCCAGGAGGGCCTCCGACTTGCCTGCGTCAAGGTTGAGCTGGATGCCGTACTCTGCGAACACGTCGAGGATGACCCCTCCAACCAGCTCGAGCTCGGCCACCGCGTCCTCCGCTCTGACCACGTAAAAGTAGGTGCCGTCGTCTGCGAACGCGATGCTGTGGGCCGGGATGTCTGTCCAAGAGTCGCCGTCCTCGAATTGGCTGGCGATCGAGCGCGCCTCGGCCCCCGGGATGCAGACTCCTAGCCCGTGTTTGGGAGAGGCTGGCCTCGACGACCTGTATGATCTACCCCATGGCTACCTCGTAGACCTGGTCCGCCAGCGGCTGGCCTGGGATGGACGACTTCGTGCCTAGGCCGACGTGGTCCGAGCTCTCGCAGACGAACCAGGAGGCGCGGTATTGCTCAGCGATCAGTGCTCGCAGGTGCCCTGTGATGCCATGTCAAGCGAGTATCCCTTGGCCCCGTAGCTTCTGCTTGAGCGGTTGCATAGCTGCAGCTGGCACCCCTGTGGAGTCGTCGATTGCGTTGACGCTGCCGTGCGACATGTTGGTGTCTAGGATGAACTCACGCACAAGCGAGTAGACCGCGTTCCTGGCGTCTAAGAAGAAGGCCCTGAACGTGGGACCCTGCTGCTTGGCTGAGGCCTGCAGTAGCCGCATCATGACAAAGGCGTGCTGCGTGCCTCTGCACCTGATGCCTCCGAACTGCCGCGGCCCCACTAGTGCTGGCATCGCGGGGGCAAGCCTTGTTCTCATGCAGTGACGTACCCGCTTGCCCATGGCGGCCGTGACTGCGAAGCACCTGTGGTTCGCACAATTGGCGATCTCGTGCTTCCTGTGGTGGTGCCTGTAGTAGCCCCCTTTCCACTGTACTGGTTCGATGCCCGTGACTGCGTACTTGACCACCAACGGCATGTATGCCTTGGCCAGCGAGCCTGCGAACCTTTTGCACAGCAGGCCAGGGATACCGTCGACTCCTGCCGCTGAGTCCTTCGTGAGTCGAAGGGCTCTCTCCATCTCGTTGAGCGAGGGGATGCAGTCCCCGAGGAGTTTGTAGTCCTGGGGCAGCGGGCAGAAGAAGTCGCCGTGCCTATCGAGCTGCTGCAACGGCACGTCCGCTGCGAACTCGACTAGGGCGAAGTGCTGCAGCCATCTGTCGCCCATCTCGCGGTGGTTTGCCGCCATGCTGCCGTCGAGCTTTCTGATTTGCGGCGGCGTGGCCATCATCAGCTTCTTGGGCGATCCCACGCCCATGCCTCGGAGCCTCGCCAAGGCCTTCTTGGTGTGCATCTGGCTCCATGCGTCGCTGACCTCTGCGGCGATGCGCCGGTAGTGGTCGCTGGCATCGCTTCTGAGCGCGGTCTGTATGGCTTTCAGCAGCAGCTTCCATCCCCAGTTGCGCAACGCCGTGGCGACATGCTGCAGCCATGCGGCGATGTCGAACATGGCCGGGAGCAGGGTGGTCCAGGCGCCGTCGCACTCGTTGAGCATTTGCAGGATGGCCTCTTCCGGCTTGATGGCCACCGCATGCTTGAACAGCTGGCCTCCTAAGTCGTACGAGGCTGGCTGTAGTGAGCACGTGCGCCTTCTCCGCTGGATTACGCTTGGTGTGGCGACGTTTGTGCCCTCGCACAGCTCGAAGAGCACCGTGGAGGGCGATCTTGTCCTCGGCAAAACTGCGCTCTGACCTTCCAGGGAGTCGGCCACAGCCTGACTGGCACTGGCCGCGCGCTCTGACCCAGCGTCCGGCTGTCTGCTGGCGACGTCTAATCCAGCGCACGGCTCGGGGAACACCGTCGCTGGCGATCCTGGCCTCGGCAAAACGTTGCATGCCGAGCCTTGGCACTCATGGCCTAGGTCGTCGAATGGGTCGTGGTCGGGGTCGTCGAGGTAGCCCTGTACTCCGCTGTTCTTGTCAAGGCTTGGTCCAGCTCTTTCGACGACGTCACGCTTGTTGTAGTCATGGCTGGCGTCGTAGAGGATCCACTCGTGGTCTGAGACCTGCTCCGTCCATCCGTTGTCGAAGTAGGCCCAGTCGTCCAGATCTCCTGCGACGTTCTGGTTATGTACTTCGTGCGCAAGACGCTGTGCCTCAAGTGGTTCGTCACCTGGTCGACGTTGCGCCAGTGTTCGGCCACTAGCCTGTCTCGACTAGCGTGCTCGCCTTGTCGATCCTGCCAATAGATCCAGCGCAGGCGTCCTTCCGGCCTGTCTCTTGACTGGTCCCATGCGTCCTCGCAGATGTCCTCGACGATGCGCTGGATCGCCCTCTCGATGCCGACGTCACATCCTTCCTGGACTCTGAGCAGGAGTTCATTGTCCTGCCTCAGGCGTTGCATGATGTAGGGCACGCACCATGCCTTCCAAGAGTGCGCACTGGCATGGGCATCCATGAGGTCGTGGATCCATACGCTGGCCTGGTCCTCCGTCTCGTCGGCAAGCTCCCTGCATCTCCTTGAGATCGCCTCGGGCAGCTCGTACGGTGGGTCGCACATGTCGCCTGGCTCATGTTCCAGCAGGTTGCTGCACTCTGTGTACGGGTTGGTACCCTCTTGTCGGCAGTGGGCTGTGGGGGCGGCCGGGGTGAGCGGGGCGCTCGAACCTCCGGCTGCCGCGTGGGCGGTGAGGGCATCGGCCACCCCCTGGAGTGGGGCCTCACCTAGAGACGGGCTCGCAGGGTGTCGAGCGTTCGCCAAGCGGACTGCGTCGCCTCCATCGACGCAATCAAGGGTGCCTCCGTCGTTGCGGTCGTAGCAGTGGGTGTGGGAGCTGCTCGGTGCTCCGTTCCACTCCTCCAGTCCTCGCTGGGCTCCACCTCTTGGAGCGGTCTTGTGGTTGCCCCTGGCTTGGGGGAGGGGCTATGGGGTGCTCCTCGAGCTGCTCCCCACCCCGCCCTGGCCGACACGCCCCACCTCCTGTCACTCGCAGCCCTGCCCACGTCGTCCCTCCAGCAACGGCGCGCTCTCCTCCCCTCGCGCTGGCGGCAGCCCCTAGGCAGGGGCCCGCGGCACTCGGAGGGCCCACAGACACTGCGTGTGACGTCCCAGCCTTCGCACCTGACGCGGTCGGAGTGCACTGCGTATCCTCGAAGATGTCGCCGAAGAGGTCCTCGACCTCCTGGTCAGCTGGTAGTGCGTGTTTGCTGCCTCCGGGTCTTGCTGCTGGCAGGGCCCGCTCGGCTGCGCCGCTGTAGCTGGGCGGCGCCAGGCTGGAGTGGGTGTCGTGGCCCTCCTCGTCGTCTTGGCCTTGGGGGCCTTCGCTTACGGTCCTCTTCGCGGGTGCAGCTGCTTTAGCCGGCAGCTTGGCGGCACGTCGGTGATGTAGTGGGCGCGGGAACTGAGACTTGAGCACCTTGGTTGTTGTGTCAAGCAGTCCCTGGACGCTTCTCAGCATCTCGAGCATCGGGGGCATGGCGTCTACGCACTTGGTCGTCTCCCTGGTGTTGACGCTGTCCTGGCCTGTCCGATGGTTGCGCCACGGCTCGTACTTCGGCGCGTGGGCCCAGGCGGCGAACAGCACTAACATCAACATGTGCCTGGCTTTTGACTGAGTGTGACGTGCTCGCCGCTGATGTGCTCGCCTAAGCTGGCACAGGTCCCTCGAGGCTGTTGACGTCCACGAGCTGTGTGGCGGCATCGGCTCCTTGGGGAACGCCTGCGCCGCTGCCGCTCGTACTGCATCGTCCAGAGCCTCTGCGTGGTCGTTGGGATGTGGGTGGAGTGATGCGTCCGGTAGCCGTTGCAGCAGCTGCTCGAAGTGCTCGCAGCATGCTGGCAGGTCTAGCTTCGCCTTGTCAATCCCCATGCCGTGCCACTGCGGTCCTGGCTGCTCAGCGTCCGGCGCCAGCACGACGGTGAGGTTCACCAGCTCGTGGTCTTGGTGAGATACGGCTAGCTCGTTGTCGCGGTTGATCACCTGGTCTTGTACTCCAGTGAGCATTTGAGGCGAGATGGCGATGTAGTCCAGCCTGTGCTCCATGCGCTTGCCGTCCTTGGCCGTGCAGCTCCACGCGATTTACTTGATACCTCTGGAGGGGAGGAGTGCGTTGGGGAGGCAGACGCCGACTGCGGAGGAGAAGCATCGTAGGCATGCTCCTGTGCGGTTCTCGTTGACTGCGCCGTAGTGCCCGATGACCTCCGTGCCGATGTTGCCGACCCTCGCGTTGGCGCCCATGAGACACACCAGTCTCGTGGAGGGTGATGGCCTCGTCTTCAGCAATTTCTCTGTAGCTTGCCACCATTGTTCGCATACGGCGGGAGGTGCTCCGCTGTGCGGAGCATGGCCCACGAAGATGTCGATGTTGAGCCTTGTGGACCTGATGCTGGCCAGGAGCCTGCGGGGGTCCGTGTGCAGGATGGCCACGTTGCTGTCGCTGAGCGGCGTACCCTCCCCCAGCACTGCCTTAATGTTGACCCAGAGGGAGACCCCGAGCTGCCCTTCGGCCGTGGCGGCAGCATGGTAGATGCGGTAGGCGCCAATTCTGATCAGGGAGTCCTTCGGGACCCGCGTCTCCTGGGTGCCGACGAAGTGGTACCCGAAGAGACCGAATTGGCTTGTCAGCATGTGTACCCTGCCCGGGAGCATCACCCCTGCGAAGGTGTTGGCTTTGCCCTCTCGCTCCTTGGTGGGGTCTAGCGTGAGGACATCAGCCACGGCGAGCTTGAGACCTAAGCTAGCTGACGGCTGCCCCCTTCCCCCCCTGCAGGGGCCCTGAACATTCGGCTTTCCAGAAATTGGTTAAGCCCGAGGAGCGACGGTTTTAATTTGGGGACCGCACCTCCAGGGGAAGGGAACTGGGAGCGGACGTTTGAGGGGGCAGCCGCTAGCCATGGCCATGGGGCCTCCTGGAGGTGGGCGAACAATTGGTCCCAGACCTGGTCGCTGCACGGGGCCTCTATGCTGCCGCCCCTGGCGAGCGTCGCGATGGCGTCCGCGAGCTCGTTCCACCCGTCGGCCATGTGGCTTGGCACGTGCTGCCAGTCGTAGACGGTGATGTGCCTCAGGACCTTCGTGAGGCCGTCGAGGGCGATGGAGTACGGCCTGTAGGTGGCCAGGGAGGCGCCTCCCTGCGCGATGTCCACTACGTACTGACAGCCGGTGTGTACGACGATCTGCGGGAAGTCCACCTCCTCCACGCCGAGGGCGCGGCGCAGCTGCAGCAACCAAAGCTCAGCAACTGTCCCCACGCAGAGCTCGGCCGCCACTGAGGATTGGTGAAAGAGGTCGGCAAGCCCTGGCATGGCTTGCCCAAGATACCCGAGCACGGAGCTTCCCCTGCACGTCCGTGGCGATGACAACCAAGGCCCAGGACGGGGGCCCAGGCATTTCTCCTTTTGCGGCGCCGCCTGAGCCATCCGTGTAGATGTCGAGGCGCGCGTACCGCAGCGGCATCTGCGGAGACTGGTCGGCGCTGCAGTCTGCAATCAGCAACCGCGTGGCCGAGTGGAAGTAGTGCTCTAGGCTGGATCCGCCGTCGAGCTTGGTGAGTTGGAATGGCCACGCCGCTCGTAGCGCTTGCAGCGCCTGGCGGCCGTCTGGCAGCGGCACTGTTCGCACAGGCCGCCCTTGGTGTGGAAGAGCTGGTAGTGGTGCTGCCGGCGGCGCAGGGGCCCCGCCATCCTCGACGCATGCAGCGCGGGCTGCGGCGGGGCCCCGCAACCGTCAAAGCTGCGCATCATCCTCTTCCTCTGCGGCCGCTTCGGAGGCGGCCGCCTCTCCTGCTACTGATGCTGCGGCTCCAGCATCGCTCTTGTCTACCGGGCTGCGGCTGCGGGTCTTGCTGCGCTCCTTCTCAGCTGCTGTGCGTCTTCCCGACTGGAGCATGTTCTGCATCTGCGCCCTGGCCGCTGCGGCCTTGGCCTTGGCCTCCTCTTGCGGCTCTCTTCTTAGCCTTAGCCTCCAACTTGGCTGCTTTGGCTGTCTCCTCTCCTCCTGCGCCCTGGGACCCCTCGGCCGCGGCGGCGGCTGGCGGTTGCGCTGCTGCTGGCATGCTCTTGGTCTGCTCCAGGACGGCCATGAGCTGTGCCACGCGCTGAGACATCTCGCCGATCTGCGTCTCCATCGCTGCCATGCGGCTCTGCGGCCTCGCCTGAGCTGTGGCACTGCTGGAGGAGGCAGACGCGACGGTGTCTCATTGCTGGCAGTCGTCCATGTAATTACCCGCTCTCGCTGTAGGGGTAGATGGCGATGCTGCTGATCTCGTCCCCCTCCTCGTCGCTGGCTGATATGCCTTCCGCCCAAGGGCTGGCCTTGGGTCCTGGCTGTGGGGCGGCAGCAGCTTGGTGCTTCGTGTATGCGCAGAAGTCGCTCATCTACTGCATCTGCTTGAGGAAGTGCTGGGCGTGCTGCAGGTCCTTCTGGGCCTTCTCGGTGTCGAGCTTCGCCGCCTTCCGCTTCATCTGTGCTGCCAGTTCTGTGTTCCGAGCGGCAGTGAGCACCTTCTTGGCCTTGCTCACGTAGGCCTCTTGGCGCTCCTGCCTGTGCTCCGGGTACTTGGCCATGATGACCTGGCAGAGGATGGCGGCGTACTCTCGCTCGGCCTGGTCCAACCTCTTCCGATCTGGCTCTGGCAGTCTTCTGATCGCTCTGACTCTGCCCTCTGCTGTGAGCAGCACCTTGCGCAGGGACTCTCGAGACTGTTTGCGCCCAGCGGCGAGCGGGGGCGGCTGCACCGACGCCTTGTGTTTCTTGGCCTCCACGGGAAGCAGATGCAGGATGCCCATGGGGCCCTTGTCCGCTGCCTGCTGCGACGTCGATGGCTGCTCATTCTGGCTCCATGGAGCCTGGTTGGGTTCACCTCCGCCCCGCTGGCGGCTGCGCTGCTTGGGGGTGCCGTCTGCCTTCCACGGCGGCAGCGACCTCTTCTTCTCCCAGCAGCTTCGGCAGGTGGTGCGGCTGGAGAAGTTCTGGGTGTCGCAGCCCTTGCAGTTCCACGATGTCGCTCCGTCGCCCTGCTGCGGGGCAGACGACGATCTTCCTTTCTTGTCGCCCTTGGCCATGGCGGCGGGCTGCTGGCTGCTGTGGTGACTGGCCAGCAGGTCCGCGGCGGCGCCCAGCCGCAGCAGCGTGCGAGCCCAGGCTCGCTGCCGCCGCTGGCGCTGGGGGGCGCCAGCGGCGGCAGCGGGATCGGGGGCGCGGGGGCCGCGCCGCCCGTGGCCGCGCGCGCTCTGGCGGTCGTCGCTGCAACTGGTGCAGCACCCACATCGACACGCCTCGAGCTGTCGCGGCGGCTGAGCTTGGAGGGAGGTGGGAGGAGGACGGTGAGCACGACGAGGATGAGGACGAGGATGAGGGGTACTATAGGGCCGAGGGGAGCGGGGAAGGAGGTATGAGCGACGAGGGAGAATGGCCAGGGACAGGAACGTTGCGAATACACTGTCGTCCATTATTGCCCTGGTCTCCCCGACCTCGGGTGGCCCGTCCACTGTCCTTTCCTTCCTCTCCGCCCTTCCGTTCCCTTCCCATCCACCCTCCCTGTCCCTCCTTCCTTGTCCCTCCCATCCACCCTCACAGCCTCAGTCCCTCCATCCGTTCCTCTCCCCATTCCTCCTCCAGGTACCCCTCCGCTCCCCTCGCCTCCAGCACACGTGCTGTTCCTCCGCGCCATCTGCCCATGAGCCGCAGATCAACATGGTCAATGCCAGCAACACCAGCAAGGCCGTGCGGCTGCTTGCGTCATGGCGCGCGAGCTCGATGAGTCTGATGATGCAACACAGCAGCGGGAGCATTAGCTGTGGGACCTCGGGAGGTATACACGAATGCGGAATGTGCAGGAAACGAGTGACGAGTATTATACTGATGGCAACGGTGGCGATGACTATGATGATCGTGTTGGTGACGATGATACGGATGATGTTGATGCTGAGTATGCTGTTGTTGCTCCTGGTGATGATAACGATGATGATGATGATGAGGAGGAGGAGGAGAAGGAGGAGGACGATTATGATGATGATGCTGATGATGATGATGATGATGATGATGATGATGATGATGATGATGATGATGATGATGATGATGATGATGATGATGATGATGCGGCCTGTGATGAGACGGATGATCTTGATTACATTGAATAACGCAAGGACAGAAGAGTGGGAGGATGGCGGGGAGGATTTTGATGACGGAAGCGAGGGGGGCAGGATGCGGAGGGTTAGTGGAAGCCGAAGACAATGAGGGGAGCATGAGGAGGAGGAGGAGGAGGAGGAGGAGGAGGAGGTAGGGTGGGCAGGGGGGGAACAGACCAGGAGGGGGAGGATGATGAGAGCAGGAGGAGGAGGAGGCGGAGGAGGAGGAGGACCAGCAGCATAAGGAGCAACAGGGGGTGATCATCAAGAGGAGGCGGACGGAGAGGAGGGCGAGGAGGATAATGAGGGAGAGGGGGAAAGAGAGGAATAGGAGAAGAAGGAGGAGGAGGAGCAAGAGAAGAGCGCAGAGGTGGTGGTGGAGGAGGAGAATCTGAGGAGAAGGATGGACACAAGTGGGAGGAGGGGGGGGAAGAGGGAGGATGGGGAGGTGGGAGAGGACTGGGATGAGGCAGAGGCGCAGTCGGAGACGGAGAGCGGGGAGAGGAGGGAGAGGACGAGGACGGGAGGTTTGAAGGGAGGCAGGTACGGAGCGAAGGGGTGGAGGGAAGGGAGGGAGGGAGGGAGTATTGAGGACGAGAGTCTGGGGACGGAGGACTTGTGAGGAGTGAGGAGGCATGCTGCGAGGGGAGGGAGGGGAAGGGAGTAATTGGGCAGCCCGTGAGATTTTCGGGTTGACGGTAACAATGCGGCGGTTACCTGCGGGATCGAAAGATGCCCTTGTCTCGCACTTTTGAAACGTTGGGTGTTAGTTCGTTTTACCCTCCCCATTGGATGCGCCCTCATCAGCGTCCTCTTGAGATTTGCTCGATTGTCCGGGGAGGCAGGTTGAGCGGCATTTTCAGAAAGTAGCGGCGAGCAAGAGGGATAGGACAGGCTCAGGAGAGCGGGGGCCCCGGGGCGAGAGGGAGAGGAGCCGGACAGGGACGGGGAGTGGGAGGAGAGGAGGAGGAGGAGGAGGAGGAGGAGGAGGCGGAGGAGGGGGAGGAGGAGAGGAGGTGGAGGAGGAGAAGGAGGAGGGGGAGGAGGAGGAGGAGGAGGAAGAGGAGGAGAGGAGGCGGAGGACGAGGAGGGATGAGAGAGGATAATGAGAGATGGAGAAGAGAGGAGGAATCATGCTGATGATGAGAAGGAGAGAAAAAAGAGGGAGGGACAGGGGGATGAGAGGGAGGGGCGGAAGGAGGGGTGGAAAGGGATTGGGGGGAGGGAGAGGTGGAATGTTAATGCCAGTGCACGAAGTGGGGGAGTGGGAGGCCATCGTTGGCAACCGGCCCGAATGGGGGCAGGGAACAGGTGACGGGCTAAATTGTGTGTTGGGCGATTTCGTGGGCCGTTTTTGTTTTGATGTCCTATTGCACCAGAGGCGGAACGAAGACAGAACGAGGGAATTCGAGCACAAAACGAAATCGGAAAGCACTGCGTAGCTCGAGCCCCGCGGCGAGAGAGAGAGGGAAGAGACGAGGAGGGGCAAGAGCGGCAAGCAGGGACCGAGACTTCTCGCAATTCACTCACAGACGAGGCCCCCGCGTCAGACTTCCTAACGATTTGCCCCCGTGAGGTGCTCAAGTGTTATGCCTGGTCGAATTGCCGGATGACCTGTTTGGATTACCAGCATAATCCGCGGGCCCCATAGGGCGGGGGCACTCTCCGCCTGAGACTTCTTCGAAATGCACTCACAGACGAGGCCCCCGCTCGAGACATCCTCACGATTTGCCCCCTTGTGGTGCTCAAGGATTATGCCTGCTGGAATTTTCGATGACCCGCTCGGATTCCAAACATGAAGTGCGGGGCCCATAGGGAAGGGGCTCCCGCCTGAGACTTCCTCGCAACTCACTCGCAAACGAAGCTCCGCTGGAGACATCCTCCCGATTTGCCCCCTTGGGATGCTCAAGTGCGATGCCTGATAGAGTTTGCCGATGATCCGCTCGGATTGCAGACATGAAGTGCGGGCCCCAGAGGGAGATGGCTCCCGCCTGAGACTTCTCGCAATTCGCTCACAGGCGAGGCCCCCGCTCGAGACATTCTCACGAAATGTCCCCTTGAGGTGCACAAGTGTTATGCCTGGTCGATTTTTCCGGTGACCCGCTCGGATTCCCAGCCTGAAGTGCGGGCCAAATCGGAAGAGGAGGAGAAGGAGGAGGAGGAGGAGATCCTGCGCGGGGTCTGCGCAGAGAAAATTCTCGTGGCGAGGGACCCAAGCATATGCAGGTAAGGGTACCGCAATTGTGAATATCTTCTTCGGTGAAGCTCCCTATGGGGCCACGAAGCGCTGCACTGGGTGGGGGGAAACGCATCCGGGCGGTAGCACTGGGGCTGTCGGTGGAGCTCCCTATGGGGCCAACGAACGCAGTGCTGTGTGGGTGAAAACGCCGAATTGGATGTGTGGGACGCATGCGGGCTAGGGGGGCACGAAACATTACACTGGGTGAATGAAAAAATGCCAAATTGGATGTGTGGGACGCATGCGGGGGCTTCAGTGGAGCTCCCTATGTGGCCACGAAGCGCTGTACTGGGTGGGTGAAAATGCCAAATTATGTTTTCGGGACGCATGCGGGCGGTACTGGGCGTGTCGGTGGAGCTCCCTGTGGGGCCACAAGACAATGTATTGGGCTGGTGAAAACGCCAAATTGTGTGTGTGTGTTTGTGTGTGTGTGTGTGTCTGTTGGTGTGTGTGTGTGCGTGGGACGCGTGCGGGCGGTCCCAGTACTGGGTGGGTGAAAATGCCAAATTGAATGTGTGCGACGCATGCGGACGGTCCCATTGGGGGCTTCGGTGGAGCTTCCTATGGGGCTACGAACGCAGTAATTACTGGGTGGGTGAAAATGCCACATTGGGCGTGTGGGACGCATGCGGGCGGTCCTACTGTGGGCTCCGGTGGAGCTCCCTATGGGGCGACGGGTGGGTGAAAATGCCAAATTAGGTGTGTGGGACGCATGCGGGCGGTCCCAGTGGGAGTTTTGGTGGAGCTCCCTATGGTGCCACGAAACGCTGTACTGGGTGGGCGAAAACGCCAAATTGGGTGTGTGTGGGACTCATGCGGGCGGTCCCACTTGGAGCTTCGGTGTAGCTCCCTATGGGGCCACGAAGCGCTGTATTGGGTGGGTGAAACGCAGGGAGAGTAGAGGACGGGGCCACGAAACGCTGTACTTGGTGTGTGGGACGCACGTGGGCGGTCCCAGTGGGAGCTTCGGTGGGGTTCCCTATGGGGCCACGAAGCGCTGTACTGGGTGGGTGAAGCGCGGGGAGGAGGGAGGAGGGGGAGGAGGGTGAGGAGGAGGGCGAGGCGGAGAGGAGAGGAGGAACGCGGGGCACCGTCTCTTCAAAACGAGGATCCAACACCACAGGATGGTTGGGAACAGGAACCCCTTTTTGGATGTGGGGAACTACGTTCCTCGGGTAATGAAAACTCGGGACGGCAGGCTTTTCGTCATTTTCGGCTTCTGGGAGCCCTTACCGGGCCCGAGGACCGTCAAGAAACGACGATCGGGATGAGAAACCGTTCCTGGGAATGGGTCAAGACTTGTGTGGGTCGACGTTCTGAAACAAAATCATGACGTCGGTGGTTCGGGGGAGGCCCAGGCGGTGGGGCAGGAGATTCGGGGGCGCGCGAGGAACAGGAGCGGCGTCGGTCGCAGAAGCAGGGCGGGCAGCCGCGCGGAGCCAGGGGGGGGCACTCTGGACGGCGGCCCCGGGCGGGCTGCCTGATGGTGGTGGTTCCCTTGCCCGGCGTGTGCCGCTTCGAGGCGCCTTCGCTGCGGCGGCAGGCCGCCCCGACGGAGGGATGGCGCCGCACCCCCCCCCCCGTGGGGGACGGAAAGGATTGGGGACGAAGGCCGACAGCATTTCTGGCTCGGTTTGAGCATGATTCGTTGCCAGTGTCGTCGCTGACGTTGTGCACCTGACACAAACGACGTTCGCTTGCCAGCGACCACTGTTTGTTGGACGGCGTTCGCTGCCTCCTCCGTTTCCCCCCTCCCTCCCTCCCTCCTTTCCTCCTTCCCTCCCTCGTTGATGCGTTGTTGCTGGTCACGTGTTTGAGCGTATGGTGGGGTCTTTGCGGCCAGGGGGACAAACTTCCTCCCTTGTCCTGCCTTGCATGCCCCCCCTTCTTTTGCATGCGGACGGCAGTCCTTCAAAACGCAGCCAACTGCCAATCCTTGCATATTCGGGCCCACCGTCTTATACCAATCCCAGTCTCGTCCCCCAAAGCCGCCTCCTTTTCCTTTCCTGTCTGCCCTCCCTGCTTCTCCTCCTTCCCCCCATTCTCCCTGCCTTGTCCGTGCTCCCTCCTTAATTCTGCCATGTCCCCTCTCACCCGCCCCTCTCGCCTCCCTCCTCCCTCCCCCATCCCTCCAGCTGCCTCTTTCCCGCCCAGCACTCGTTCTACCATTATCCCCTCCACCTGTTTGCAGCTCTTGCCGAGGCGCCTGGTTCGCTCGATATCCGAACTGCCGCGGCCATTGGGCAGGGGTCTCGCGTGAGGAAATTCCTCGCGTTCAGGACCCTTCCTCATCGCTTGGTCTCTTTCCCCCACACAGTGTTGGCACTTGGGGCCATCTTATTTCCTGTACCTCAGGAGCTGGATGGGTACCGCGGGGTTCCGCCACGTTGCGGGCCCGTGCTGCCTCGTAGGCGCGCGCCTCCTGGGCGTCCCGCGCTTGGGGGGCACTGGGGAGTTCGCCACGTTGCGGGCCCGTGTCGCCTCGTGTGCGCCCCGTGATCTGAGCTTACACGGCACTGTTTTCACCACATAGCTTACAGCACAGCTCACACCGCGTACATTCTCCGCTCTGCAGAAGGATAGTACAGTCTACCACCCTCCCTCCCGAGGCCAGGTTTCTCGCCCCCCCGTGGATCCAGCCAAGCAGGTATCCCCCCCCGTCATCTTTGTCTCTGCCAAAGGTTATCATGCGTGCGCACTCGTCTATCTTAACATATTCTGCTCCACGAGCCCCTTGCAAATAGTACCACAAAGTCCACACGCGCGCACAGCTCAAAGTCATATCAAACACATCAGTTCTGAAACCTCTCCCGTATAAAACGTAGCAGTCACAAGAATAGTGGCTCCCTGTGACAGTATTTCAGATGTTCTTTCCCGCGCGCACTCGCTGCAATAAGAGGAAACCAAATTTGCTAAGCAATTTCGCCGAGCACCCGCATTCGAGTTTCACTACGCGGCGCGTCCGCACTGGTCTAGCATGCGCTGGGCGCACGAATCCGTTTCAAATGTTTGCTATCGTGAACCGCGACAGGAAGTTATGGCAATGTGGATGTGTAAGCTGTGTGATGCGCAAGCGTCTCTGCGGTCGTTCATCGAAGAGCAGGTGT